TGCTTGTCTGTAGGATGGTTGTGGTTGAACTAGATTCAATGTGCTACCATAAATTTGTTGACTAAAGTCTGGACAAGCTTTGGCAAAACAATTAAAATACTAGTATAACAGAATAAAGATGGGGCCCTCCACTGCTGAAAGTATGAAGAAGCTATGGGATACGTGGAATGTGAGAGTACTGATTATCATAAGCCTTCTGGTGCAGTCTTTCCTTATTCTGTTTGCACCATTAAGGAGGCAAAGAGGTGCGATATGGGTGGTCAAGATGTCAATCTGGTCAGCATACTTGCTTGCAGACTGGCTTGCTACATTTACAATTGGACTCATGTTGCGAGCTGAAAGAAGTGAAATCTTGGCCCTTTGGGCACCATTTCTTTTGTTGCATCTTGGTGGCCCTGACACTATTACTTCCTTCTCTCTAGGGGATAATGACTTCTGGATTAGACACTTGATTGGGCTTATGTTACAAGTTAATTCGACGGTGTATGTTTTCTTTCAGTCACTCCCAGAGAACAAGCTTTGGCTCCCAACCTTCCTAATGTTAACTGCAGGAATAATCAAATATGCAGAGCGCACCTGGGCATTTTATCTCGCAAGCTTTGACCAATTTGGGAATAATTGGGAATCTCCCTCAGGATCACTCCCTGTCCCAATTTTAATGCCTGGATCACTCTTTGTGCCAATGTTAATGCCTCCCATTCCACCAATTCCAGTACAGTTTGTCCAAGGTCTAAAAAAGCCCTCTATATTTGGAAGAAGTTCAGAGTTGGTGAGAAAAGATATCATTTCAGAGGCAGCAAGACGGGTTGGTGCTATCAAGAACCTACTTGTAGGTCCTCCCATGAGTTCAATGCAAAAATTGTCTCTTCATAATGCAACACATCAGAAAGATTCACATGAGATGCTCCGAATCATAGAGATCCATTTAAGCCTCTTGTATGATCTTCTTCATACCAAGTTGCCTGTGGTTGATTCCAAGATTGGTTATGTTTGCCGCACTGTTAACCTTGGTTGCATCTTGGGAGCCTTAGTGTCATTCCCATTATTACTTAGGAAGCACCACCATAAGTTGTTGAAGTTTGACATTTGGCTGACCTATGTGTTGCTGATCGGGGCTTTGGCATTGGATTTGATATCCATCTTGTTACTTATTTTCTCTGATTGGATTATTATTGCTCATTTCAGGAAAGAAGACTCTAATGAATTTATCAACAGGCGCAGGTGGTCTAACTCAATTCCTCAGTTAAATATTTTAGCTTGTTGTTTCAAGAGTAAGGATGGAGATTATTCAAACAAATTGATTGATTTTCTTGGCTTAAATAGTTTTTTTGAAAACATAAGAAGATTAATCCAGTGTGTGTCCTCCAAAGATTTTGTAGAAGACGAAGCATGGAACTTCATTTTTTCAACAGTAAAAGAAAAGTATGATGCAGGCAACGGAGTGTTTCATCCTGGAGTTCTGCATGGAGATACTCATGATACCAACTTTGCTTGGAGCCTAGACAAGTTTGAATACATGGAAAGCCTCCTGATCTGGCACATAGCCACTGAAATATGCTACCGAATAGGAGGTCCAGATAACAGCCCCAGTACCTCTACCTCTACATCAAGGAGTTTAGGTCACCGGAAAATATGCAAGTTGCTTTCAGATTATATGTTTTACCTTCTGGTGATGGAGCCTACTACAGTAGCTGCCTCGTCTAACAATTTGAAGATGGTATTTGAGGGTGAAAAATTAGATAAAACCTGGAGGTGGCCACATGTCATTAGAGGTGAAAAGGGATCCAAAGGAACATTCGATAAAGATAAAGATCTGGACAAGCTATTGGTCGATGAACAAGAAGATGTGAGAAAGCTGTTGAATAAAATGAAGACAGATGTGGATAAGCTTAGGTTTGAGCAAAAGCTACAGATAAATGAGTTTTCTAGGGTAACTGCTGCATGTTATCTGGCCAAGGAGCTCCTCAATCAGCCCAGCGGTTGTCCATGGGAATTAATGGGCAGATTTTGGGTAGAAATAGTATGCTATGCTGCTAATAATTGCCAACCCGTTGTCCATGCACGACAAGTAAGCAGAGGCGGACAACTTCTCACCTTGGTTTGGTTGTTGATAAATTACTTGGGATTAACTCCTCCGCCGAAGGAATGGTATGACGTGTTAGAGCGGAAGGAACCCACTGATCAGAATAAAGAGCTGAAGGAACCAGACGTGTTAGAGCAGAACGAACCCGCTGATAAGGAAAAAGAGCTGAAGGAACCAGACGTGTTAGAGCAGAAGGAACCCGCTGATAAGGAAAAAGAGCTGAAGGAACCAGACGTGTTAGAGCAGAAGGAACCCGCTGATAAGGAAAAAGAGCTGAAGGAACCAGTTCACAAGTTAGAGCAGAAGGAACCCGTTGATCGGAAAAAAGAGCTGAAGAAACCAGGCGTGTTAGAGCAAAAGGAACCCGCTGATAAGAAAAAAGAGCCAAAGGAACCAACACCCACTGATCAGAAAAAAGAGCTGAAGGAAGCGGCTCATGAGTTAGAGCTGAAGGAATCTGCTGATCAGAAAAACAAGCTGAAGGAACCAGCTCACGAGTTGGAGATGACATCAGCCACTTCATGAAAACGTCTGTCAAGTTTAATTCTGGAGTGTTCTTTCTTTGTTTACCTTTCATTTTGAATTCATGCTTTGGAAATCTCTTGATATTTTATTAGTGCATTGTATTCTATATGGTTGTGTTGTGTTGCTATTTGGAAACATGTATTTGAATTTAGGACAATAATATATTACCATGTGTGACTTCAGGACTGGGTCAATATACAACTTCCTCTTTGGTAGTAGTAGTACAGTAAATCTTTGCCAATAAGGCATATATGTTCTGTAATAAAGAGCCCTTAGCCCTTATAGAGGATGATCCTAATTAAATAAATCCCTTTGTGCTACATGTCAGGCTGTTAACTCCCTATTCATGAAAGATATCTCATTTTAAACATTGGCACTTGGGTATGGTTATGGCCACACATAAATTTTAAGACACTGCAAAAATAATAGAAATGTATTTGGTTTGACTATTAAGAATAGTTAATAATAATAAATATTAGTTAATAATAGATAAAATAGTTAGTATTTATTATTTAATAGTTTAAAATTAAACTATAAATTAATGTTTTTAAACACCTTAATAACTGTGGATTAATAAAATCAAATAAAGTAAATAAATTTACATTGTTTTGTGTGGACCTAACATGGCTTGAACTTTAAAATGTTGGAAGAATATAGGTACTACCAAACTTACAAAAAAATGTGAATAGAATGAGATTGCTGTCTCATTTTTAATTCATGAATAGCTGCAATAAGACTTGATCGTCTATTTTCGAAAGTTGTCTGTGAGTTTGGGGAGCAATGGAGTCATGGTAAGGTACTAGAAAATGGAAAACTGGACAAGAAGCAATTTTCTGCCTCTCTAAAATTTGAGAATTCGAGAGACATTGCAGTGATGGAGGTCAAATTGAGGAAGCTTTGCGAGTTGTTAAGACAATTGAGGATACAAGGCATGATGTAGTGACGAAGCAAGCAGTGACATACGCATGGTAAATTTGAAGAGAGAAAGAACAAGTTGATACAGAGATGAGTGATACTGTGGAAGAGGAACGAATGTGCAATCCCCTGAATCTGCCAGTGGGTTGGGATGGGAAGCTGATACGCTACTGGCTTTAGAAGCTTCATGAACTTGACCGTGAATTTAAGTGTGAGATATGTGGAGGATACAGCTACATGGAACGTAGGGCTTTCGAGAGGTATTTTCAGGAGTCGCGCTATCAGCATGCGAGGCGCTGCCTTGGCATTCCCAACTGTTGAAGTTAGCAAATATCAGTTATGTTTTTTAATTTGTAACTGTGTTTTTAGTTTTCTGCAGTTAAAGTTTATGGTTTCTAGTAGTTTTCTTTTGTAAAACTGATATGTTCGAGTTGCTTATATTTTTAGCAACTCTTATGTCTTGTAATTTTCATCTGAAATGAAAAGAGAGCTCCATATCAAAGAAGCTCTTGTTCTGAAATTTTCTGGTTCTGCATTTTCTGTTCTTTTACTTTACTGCAAAAACTTACAATTGGTATCAGAGCATAAATCATCTTGAGGGGCCTGTGAGAGCAAAACAGATTTAGATTTTGGTGAGAGAGAGCAAACACGAGTGCTAGTGAGGGAGAGAAGCTGTGTAAACAAAAAACACAGCCATGTCTTCAAACAATTCTTCATCACTTTCTAATCCTCCAATATTCACAGGAGAAAATTACAGTGTTTGGGCTATCAAAATGAAGGCCTTTCTAAAAGGTAATGGTGTGTGGGAATCTGTAGAAGATGGGTTTCATCCTCCTATGCTGCCAAACAATCCAACTGTAGCCCAAATGAAGCAACATGCTGACTATGTTCAAGCCTCATACAAAGCCCTCTCATATATTCATAGTGCTGTAACAGATGATATTTTCTCAAGGATCATGGGAGCAGAAACAGCACAAGAAGCTTGGGATACTCTTAAGAAAGAGTTTGATGGCAGTTCTCGAGTTAAAGGTAACAAGATTGTAACCCTCAAAAGACAATTTGAGATGCTGAAAATGCAGGAGTCAGAAACAGTCCATCAATATACAAATAAATTGATGGATGTTGTCAACCGAATTAGACTTCATGGTGAGGAATTTCCAGATCGAAGGGTGGTGGAAAAGATTATTGTTAGTGTACTAGATAAATTTGAGTCCAAGATTTCTGCCATAAAAGAATCTTGTGACCTTAAAGAGCTAACCATTACTGAGCTTATAAGCAAGCTTCAGGCTCATGAGCAAAGGCTGGTTATGAAAGCTGATGAAACCACAGAAGGAGCCATCCTTGCAAGGCAAAAGGGAAAACAACCGGCCACTAGTTTTGAAAGCAATAAGACCAATGGTTCTAACCAAGCATATCAGTAGCATCAACAAAGTAGAAAAGGGAGGTTTCCTTAATGCTGTTATTGCAGAATCAAACCATGAAGAAAAAGATTGTTGGTTTAAAGATAGATCACAGATTCAGTGCAGATTTTGTAAAAAATATGGCCATATTGAGAAGAATTGTAGGGCTAAGCAACAGCGACAGCATCAAACACAACATCAACAAGCTTAGTATAGACCAAAGCAACAACAACAAGTTAATTAT